AACACACACTATCAAATAGGCAAGTCAATTTCATTTTAAAATTTATATTTTACGACATATTTTTACTATAATATACATTAATATAATATACATTTATACTATAAGTCTATACTGACCCTTGCGAGATTGGGCCGCCTGTGATAACATATAACATAACGTGTCAGGAGTGGCCGAATTTTCAGCAACAAGATGAACGATAGGGCCAGGCGAGCACAACTTTCAGTTTGAATCGACCAACTTGTCTGAAGCTTGGGCAAAATGGAAAAGAAGTATGCAGTATTATCTAGTATAGCTATATACGGCCTATTGGAAGATCACCCGTCTTAATTTTTGTAAATATCTTGGTGAAATAGTACCGTTTTTAATAAAGTCAAGTCAAGTCAAAGTCAAGTCGCGACATACAAGGACAGAAGCGAAGACGAGAAAGTCGCTATTTTTATGTGGATGATTGACAGACAAGGACAAGACATCAGAGATACATTCGAACTTGATGAAGACAAAGACGGTGAAAACTTTGATGAAGACAAATACGGTGTCACGAGACAGTGGAAATACTAATTCAGAAGTTCGAGCAGTACTGCAAACCAAGGAAAAATCTAATCGTTGAGCGACATCGATTTCTAACGAGAAATCAAGAACAGTCTGAGACAATCGACCAATATGTGACCGAACTCAAGACTCTGCCTACAAGCTGTGAGTGGGGCGACATTAAGGACGATTTAATCTGCAGTAGAATTGTAAGCGGGATCGTTTCGACTAGAGTCAGAGAAAGGCTTCTTCGAGAACCCAAATTAAAGCTTACACGAGCGATTGAAAAATGTCAAGCAGACGAATTATCATTACAACAATTAAAGCTATTCAACAACGATAAAGAAGTCGGGGCAATTAACAAAACACGTCAACCGCGATGGAAATATATCCCGAACAGGGTCTTAGCTAGGATTTTAGATCTTGGGCGTGTTTCTAAATGACCAGGGTGTGCACATGTCAATTACCTCAAATAGCCAAATTCACAGTTCTAGCTATGCTTGCCAACAACAGACAATGCCTGTGGTTGTTCTATGCTTTGAAACCAAATACAAGACGAGCATATGTTCATATTGGGCACTGACATTAAATTATTTCAGCAACTCTTGGGGGTATTTAAAACCATTTAACACCATACAGTTCCCATTGTCCATCAAAACATTAAAACATCACATGCAGATCACTTTTGTCAATTTTAACAACAACCGTGCATTTTACAACGTACAGGAAATAGGAAGAAATTCTGTCCGTTATTTTATGAACCTACACGGCCTTATATAAATAATGAAACCGCGTTCATTTTATCTAGCCGTGTTTTTCCCCTTTTGGCCGCGATACCACGGCCAACACGGCCCTCTGGCTAAGACCCTGATCCCGAAAAACAACCCAGAAGCTAGAAAGCCAAAACAAGATCGAGACGAAAGCAAAACCTGGAAGATTTGTACGAATTGTGAAAATAAGCATCCGAAGCAAAAGTGCCCACGTTTGGTCGACAGTGCAACAAATGCAAGAAATTCAATCACTATGCAAAGATGTATCGCTCAAGCGGAAAATTAGATGCAATCGAGACAAAATATTCAAAACCTGAAGAAACCGGCGATGATTTTCTACTTCTTGACACAATAACAGCCGCCGTAGACGAGGCAAAACAACAAAGTCAAAATCAAGCAGAATATGCGACCCTGTCGGTGAACAACACTGAAGTTAAGCTAAAATTGGACACTGGGGCAGAAGTGAACGTTATTCCAATCAAAACTTACAAAGTCCTAGCGAGCACCAGAAGAATACAGTTTAGAAAACAAACAGTTAATCTCATTGCGTACAACGGCAAGCCAGTCCCCGTGAAAGCTGTGTGTAACTTGCAGTGCAAGTATCGAGGAGAAGAGTATGATCTGGAGTTCTACATATCCGAATCACCCAGTGAGCCAGTACTCAGCATAGCAGCCAGCAAAGAGTTAAACCTCGTCAAATTTACTCAGGAATTGAAATCAGAATTGGTAGACGGTAGTTTTTCGATGACAACACAGCAAGTTTCAGAAGACGAATACTCAAAACAAATTCGAACAGAATATGCTGATGTATTTTCTGGATTAGGCCGTCTCTCTAGACCGTATCACATGGAAGTAGATCCCATGGCAGACCCGGTCATACATCCGCCACGTAAAGTTCCACACCCTCTGAGAGATCAACTAGCTAAAACCTTAGAAGATATGGTGAAACAAGGAGTTTTGCAAAAGGTCGATCGATGGTCCGTCTGATTGGGTTAACTCAATGGTAGTGGTCCAGAAAAAAGATGGAAGTCTGCGCATCTGCATCGATCCTAAAGATCTAAATCGGGCGTTGAAAAGAGAGCATTATCAACTTCCAACAATCGAAGAAATTACAGCTCGAATGCCAGGGGCACGGTATTTTTCCACGTTAGATGCAAGATCGTGTTATTGGCAGATACCCCTCGACGAAGAAAGTTCCAAACTCACAACTTTCAACACGCCATTTGGACGTTTCCGTTTTACCCGCATGCCATTTGGAATCCGAAGTGCCCAGGAAGTATTTCACAAACGAGTACATGAAATATTCGAAGATATTCGTGGAGTGGAAACTGATATTGACGACATTCTCGTGTGGGGAAGAACACTTCAAGAACACGGCGAGCGTCTAAAGGCAACGTTGGAAAGAGCAAGAGAGTGCAATCTAAAGTTCAAGTTAGAGAAGTGCCACTTCAGGTCCACGAGTGTTGTTTACATCGGACATAAGCTTACATCGGAAGAAATCAAACCTGATCCACAGAAAATAGAAGCAATCGTGAACATGCCAGAATCACATGACAAGAAGGGAGTTCAAAGGCTTCTCGGTATGGTGAATTACGTGGGTAAATTCGTACCGAACCTGTCAGAAATCACGTCACCACTGCGAGAATTGCTCAAGAATGATGTGGCGTGGCATTGGTCAGAAAGACATGCAAGTGCTTTCGAAAAGATCAAAACCATTCTTACAAATACAGAACCTGGAATCTTAACCTACTATGATGTGACGAAACCAGTAAAGCTTCAGGTCGACGTCTCAAATCCGGGTTAGGAGCGGTACTTACCCAATCGAACATGCCAGTTGCATATGCCTCGAGATCTCTAACACCGGCTGAGACTAGATATGCTCAGATAGAAAAAGAACTTTTGGCAGTCGTGTTCGGGTGCAATCGTTTCTATCAGTATATCTATGGCAAGCAAATTATAGTTGAATCAGATCATCAGCCTCTCGAAGCCAATATCGAAGCCTGTGAAACCGAATACATCTGAGGAAAGCTTATGATCGAGTTTCGCAGTCCTCGTCTCCTGAGAAGTCAACCGAAGGTCCATCGAAGGAAGAAATCAAGGTTAACTCGCCGACTAGAAATGAACAATTACAGTATCAAGAAACAAGAGAAGACAACAAAGAAACCCTTAGTTCTACCGGTGAGACAGCATCGCCAGTAAAAACAAGATCAGGACGGATGATAAGGAAGCCAACTCGGTATAAGGACTATGTTTAACATTTTTCATTACCTTAATTAATATGAGTTTCCAAAGAACACTTACGTACGATTAAGACACTATATTTATTTAGTTTAATCCATACTACTTAGAGATATAACTTTTATATATGAAAAACTCGAACAAAAATAGAATAAGAGAACTTTATATTTAGGGGATATGCTAGCTTTTAAAAGGGGGGTTGTAATATATTCATGTTAATATGCACTATAGTTATTATGCTAATCAGCATATATAAACACTGGTCTGTAGCTTGTACATTTAGTTAGTACTATAATTCAAATATATAACATATAACATAACAGGTACAGCCCGAAGTTTTTATCAGGTTTTGGTAGGTACAAAGTGCCGCTGTGCCGGTTGTACTAGGATGGCATGATTGATGACGAATCGCTTGTAAAAACGCGGACAAATACTTGCTTGAGTGAGACTTCTGGTATACCTTCCTATTCTGTGACTTGATGCAGGAAAATACGAACACTTCCCAAAGAAACCAGGTAAGTATGGCTTTATTTCTTTCTGCTAATATCCATCAAGGCGATGAACTGTTTAGCGTTCATTCTAGAGGCAAGCAATGTGCTTTTATGAGTTTATCGGCGCTTCTTACAGCGCGTTCAGTAGAAACAACAAGTGATCAGCTAGGCTTAAAAAAGCTTGTGATTATAAAAAGAAAATTCAGTCGGACAAAACTGACAGTGAAACACAAATGAGACTCCAAAAAGTAAGAGATATGAAAAAAAAAGAAAACGGTCAGAAGAATCTGACAGTGAGAGACGAAATAGACTTGAGAAAGATAGACTGTCTAAAAAACAAAAGCGGGCACAAAGAGTGTCACAGCCTCAACCTGAACTAAGCCAAACTGATTATTTAAATTTGTTTGACATCACTCAAAATGGTGGTATTGAAGAACAATCTTGGGCAAAAGCTAAGATTAATATACTGTCAGTCAGTGTACAGTTTTTCAAGAGGCATGGCCGTTGAAATCCAAACCGAGATCACCTTATGTGTGTTTACGGTGCTCTAGAGATAAAAAATCCTCAAAAATTTTTGTTTGAAAATTCAGTGATACAGGTACCTTCATCTGTTCCACATGAATTACAGAATTTAAGGTTACAGGACACCCTTTTTGGCGTTTTGCGGAAAACTGCTACTGCGCGCTCAATATCAGTCCGATTTTAATCAAATTTTCACCAAATGTTCGCCAGTGCATGCAAAATATGGTAAAGTTGTAAAATTAACAAACAATAAAATAAT